AAAACCCTGTAGTTTTTCATTTGACTTTTAGTGGGGCTTCGCTTGTTATCATGGCTATAATTAGGCTAATCTTGCTCCCTCCTCTTTCTCTTCAATTTTGGCTATTTTTAATACTGCTACTTCTCTATTGTAAAATAAATGGTTGTTTACAAGTTTATCTGTAGTGGAATTTCTGGGAAGACAGGGTACCCCCTGTTTATATAATATAATCAGTTAATAGCTTTACATCTTAGGACAAGGTAAATTTAGATAAGAAACTGACTGAGAAGGGAAGGGACCAAAATAAGAAAAACAGTGCCAGCACAAGACAAAAACATCCAATGTACAATTCAAATTAGTCAAAATTATATCACCTTACAGTATTTGCATTACTTGAATTTAAACAGTAGGGTTCCAGTAAAAATATACATGTAACTCATCTGACAAAGGGGGAGTTATCAGCCTGCTTTTCATGTGTTTTTAATTAAATTTAGTTTTGCCGTTTCATGCCACAGATCAAACAAGAGTTTCTATACTGGATTCCATTCATAGAAATTGACATTATCAACTAATTACTACTCTCAATCTTCCTAAACATTAAAAAAAATCAGGAAATCCCTGATTTGAAAAGTGGTGACACCTGTGCATGCACTGACATCAGAAGGAACACAGTGAGATGGACCTAAAAGATGTATACAGAATATAAGCTAGACAACACTAGTTACACACTTGGATCCCAAAAGACTACGTATGAGATGAGTTGTAAGTTCAAATGAGGAAATTACAAAGGCCTGATTTAGACCTTTTAGAGACTATAACGTAACTGTAAGTGGCGGACATTGCTGCCCGCATTTTTGCTGGTATAGTATCATTGGGTCATCTCCCAAAGTTTCATATGCAGCCAACAGACAGAAAAGAAATTCCTTCCTAGCTTCTTGCTTGTTGATGTGATCAGTTTTTTGGGGGCAAACCTATTTGTCCCTCTAGTTTTTCCACTTTTTTGTGCATTCCCTCATTCAGGTAGTTTCATCTCTCACCAGGAATTTTCT